CGACATATTCAAGGAATGCAGCATGCTATAAAGGATCTTTCCGCATACGATGAATGTTCGCTAGGCGCACCTGTGACGGCGGAAGACAGCTCCCTAGACGCAATCAATAGTGGCGAACGAACGCTTCCTGGGTGCAGCTACAGTTCCAGGAGGTCTTCTTTCTTCTGACACCCACTGTCCTGTATAGAATCGCCCAAGGGCCCGGATATTGAAAGTTCGATACAATTACTTGGAAAAGTGGTCGAGTTTCGACTGTGCAGGAATGTCTGTTTCATAATTACGGACCTACCTGACCTTCGCGACGGAATCCGTCCAGTAGACTTCATCGACGAAGTCGAACGAAGTCGAATGCCTTTGTCCACGAACAATAATCCTCCTGTGCGAGTGTGCAGATGTTGGCCGCTTGGCGCTCGCCATGAGCCATGCCAGCGCCGCCTATGCTGATGAAACCGTTTCCAACGCCTGTGGTGGATTTAAGTAGGCCCAACGCCGTCCCGATGCGGAGACGACGGGCGTCCATTCGTGGACTCGATTGATCGATCGAGAATTTTCCTGAGTATTCTAGATTGATGGCTGGATATCATGCATAACTTCGGGAATATCCTCTGTGCCAGTCCTGGCTTCCGACGACTTCAGGATGCCGTTCTCGTCGAAGTTTTTGCGCCACTCGATGAACTCGTCGCTGACAACGGAGCCGTACGTTCCACGCTTTACGAGAGACAACTGGAGCACCTCCTGGTTTTCAATGTGCCTCACGCGCCAGTAGTCACCCTCGGTGACGTGGTCCTTGAGAAATTGGATGAAGGCAGAGAGGAATCTCAAGCAACGATTCTTGGACCAAGGCTTGTTCCTAGGAATCGCGTGCGTTTTGATCGACTCGACCTTGGGAATGTCAAAGACGCCCGTCCGGCTCTCAGTCCTGAGACCGAGAATGATCCTGGGACAGTTGATTAGGTAGGACTGTGCCCAAAACTTGAGGAGTCGCATGTCGTAGGCGTGATTCTTCTTGTCGGCCAGGCCCTTTGCCAGAGTCTTAAGCTCTACCCAGTCGTAGTAGTTGTACTTGTCAATGTTGCCATACTCGCCATGGTATTCCGCAGGATTGGACTCGTGGAGCATGTCGTGGCTATCCCATACTGCGCCACCGCATGAGCCTTAGTCTTTGTATATAAACGAGGAAAACTTACTGCAGTCCACCTCTCCTCCATAGATAATCTTGTGCTTGTCATCCAATGTGGATGACACAATTGAGCAGTACTGCGCGTGGTTGGAGACTTGTTGCTCATGTCGATTCTCAATCTGCTCTCGACTGACATTGTCCCACACGTCCGGAATAGTAGACATTGCTTCAAACTTGTATCCTGTCACCCGCGTTAGTACGGCCGGATTTTCAATCCATCGCTGTGGCGATGCCCTTCTGCGATTTCTTTCATGAGCAAACATACCCAGATACATCACGGGCGAGAATGAGCCACGTGGATCCCGAGACTGGCGTTCGATCCTAGCCTGGAGGTGTTCCTCCAGGAAGCTATAACAGTCGGTGCGTCAGTCATTTATTGAAGGGATGGTGGATAAAGCTACCGAGCAAACCCACATTTGTCCCTGGATCACGTCAATCAGACATCCACGAAGCCGTTGAACACTACAGTAGGGAAGCGCTTACTTGAAACTTGGTCACGTTCATCTCGAACGAGTCTCGTTTGTCGTAGATCATTGTCAGGATCTAAAGACACCGTTAATGTATGTTCTCCATTTGAGGGAACTTTAGGGTCCGGACTTTGGTCAATTGGCCCCTCCAGGTGATGACCTCGGCGTCAGTGATCCGACCGGATTCGGCCTCTTTTTCTTGGAGAGCTTGAAGCACAGCGTCGAGATGTCCATCAATTGTTTCGTCATGGCGGCGGAAGGTGTCAAAACCGGTCTGCAAACCGGCCCTGCGCGCATTCTCGCTGACATTCATGGGCCAGTAGTAAGAAATCGATGAATCGTCGGACTGGTACTTGTGCTCATCGTCGAAGGAGTAAAAGGCGATTTCTCGTGGCGGAGTCAGGTCGGTTGAGGTTGAACCCGTGCTCTTGGCGCAATGGAAGCTCAAATGATGCGTAGGAGGAGCTGATAGGTCCCCAGTTCGCTCGTCCAATCCGTCTTCGTCAGGCATGGTGTCGATCAATGACGGTTTCCTTGGGATAGACGCAGAGTACGTTTGTTGTTGAAGGTGCTCCGGCAACGCGCGAGACCCTTGATCTACACACACGACGTCACGCTGCCGAGCCTGTGGTGTCGTGTCGCACCCCGGTCCATGCACCAAACTGGGACCTTGGGCTTAGAGCGCTATGAGATGAATGACAGGAACGAGTTATCGAAAGGATGCGAATGGCGACCTTACGTCAGGTCAAGGGGAAATTGATTCTTGAAGATTTCTCGGAAACAAGTGTTGAATGATTGAGACCAATTCGTGAGGATCTCAGAATTGAACAGTGGGCCCGCCTGGACTACAATCAAAACTGCCTAGCTTAAGGACGTTCTGCTAGAGGCACTTGCATAGTTGGTGTAGAGGCAGCGGTGTGTTGAGAAAAGTCGTGCTAAGTCTACGGCCAAAATGGCAGCTGTCGGCGGCAACTACATCTCGCAGCAACCTCCGCATCTGCAGTGTTTACCTGTACTTCCCGTTGTGCATCATCGCTCCACCACAACCAGCGTCAATCCTCTGTCGCGAAATCTCAGCCCGCTTCCCTACTCCTACCATTTCTATCGCCCGGCATGAGTAGTCGCGCAACACATGTCCACCCAACGCACCGCACAACCACGGCCTCTGGTATGCGACGGAATCTCTTCAACAGCACGCTTTCCCGGCGGCCAACCGCGCCCAGCACAACGAGTGCCACCTCCGCCACCACCCTACACCTAGCCGATATCGACGATGAAGAAGGAGAAGGACGTCAAGGCCATTTGCTGGAGCGAGATCGAGACATGGTGGCGCGGGACGAAGACGGCAATTATAAGCTCGACACGTCAATGCTAGGGCCGCTACCGCCGGACGAGGAGAGCGAAGAGAAAGGTGAGCAGGGCGAGAGATATGGGTCACATGGGCGAAGAGCATGCCACCGCGACTCAATCCACTTTCAAGACAGCCTGCTGACAAGTTGCAATACAGAAGCAAAGATACACCTCGTCGAAACGTACCGAAGACACCAACAACAGACACATCCTGAGGGTACTGGCAAGAAGGGCGACGAGGAGCGAGAAAATTGCACCTTGTGCACGGAGCTCAAGCAAACACTGCAGGCCAGCCTGCATGCCCAGCTTGAATCGCTCGAGGAAGACAAGTGGATGTTTGAGGGCGAAGATCCCAAGATGATGGTATTGGATTGATCTCCATGCAATGCAAATCAATGGCGGCAAATGTAGGGGTTTTTGGAAACACTGGGTCAGGAGCGGGCGTCTGTGGATATGGCATTTTTATAAAGATACCCGTAGCCTAGAGGCTACACTGGCGGGCAAATTCGGTCTGGATCTTCATCCCATTCCTCCAAATAATCAATATCTTCTTGTTCGTCTCAGTCCAAACCGGGAGCAGGCGGCGGCGTCGGTTCTACGCGCCTGGACTGCGGCTTCTTTGCTGGGCCGCCGCCGCCGAACATGCTACTCATCATGTCCATGAGCGGGTTGGATTGGCTGGGCATGCGAATGTCAAAGTACATCTCAGCAATCTGATCCAGTGCGTCCTTCCATGCTGGTACCTCATCGATGTTTGTCTTGTAATGCGATTTCAACAGGCGGAACAGATCTGAGCCGCCACGGGTCACAGACAAGAGCAGGAGGCCGAGGAAGTTGAGGAGTGGAAGCGAAGGGTACAGTCGTAGATCGACGCTCGCGGTACTGACTTCTTGTACGGCGAGGGAGCTGTTGGCTTGCGAGAGACGCGTGGTGAATTGTAGGAAGGATTGGTTGGCGGCACGCAAGTTGCCAGCGACGAGGTAGGGTAGAACGGCGCGAGCAGCATAGAGCGGTGCGGTGTGGGCTTGATCTTCCGAGTACCATTCATACTCGAGCTTGACGAGTTGTTCGGGCGAGTCCCGCGTGCCTTGGACAAAGTGTCTTTCTGCCTCGTAGGCTTCACCGTCTGTCGGTTGTTCACAAGTCAGCGCCAGCGTTGGAAGCGCAAACATCGACACTCACCTTCAGCAAGAACCGTGCCAATGACGTGGTGAAGCTCTGGGTCACCCGCAGGATATTCACCCAACCTCGCCGACCACCTGCTATTGTCAGCCCAAGCCCTCGAAGCACCATTCGACTCGCAATACGACGCACCCAATCATGTCGCCAATGAACCTCTTCTTGGTCGGCTCGTTTGGCGGGAATGCCCGCAGCAAGCTTAAGACCCGCGCCTTGCTCCCCGCATCGGGCTTCGTCTCTGCCTTGTGGTACACCTCGATCAAGAAGATGCACAGGTCGCCGCCGCTACCGCCCTGGCCGGCCTGCAGCAGCGCCTGCGCGCCCTGCGAGAGGAGATCGATGGCGGCATTCCAGTTGGACTGTTTGATGTAGCGCGCAGCGATGACGCGCAGCTGCTGGTGGGCCTCGTAGAACTGGCCTTCTGCGATCCTGGCGACGCGTGAGCTTCCAGCGCTTCGACGGGCTACACGGCAAGGGAGGGGATGGCGACGCGTTACTTTTCTTGCTGGCGCTGTATCGTCCTCTCGATCTTCGACATGGTGACGGCGGTGTGGGAGAGGTTGGAACGTCGGTGTGGAGAGCTGCTGTCAGCGCGCCTAGGTGCAGGTGGTTTTCGAGTCCGCTTGACGCGAGTCTCACTCCTGCCCTCCCCGCAATCCAACCCCTCCATTCCTTTCTCTGACTCTACATACAACCCTTTCTAGCTCCCTTTTCAGCCACATCATCTTCTTCGCACACTCTCATGGTCTTCTTCCTGGGGAGGGAGCGTTGAAAATTGCGCCCACAATATAGAGCATCTGATCATGCTGATTCCTTTACGCAACGCACCAATGGTTTAGGGGTAAAATTCCAGCTTCCCACTGTGTCAGACGAGCTGGAGCGCCGGGTTCGAGTCCCGGTTGGTGCAACGAACTACTTTTTGCATATCGTTTTGTCTGTGGTGATTCTCTGGGAGTGGGGGCCAAGCGTTTTGGGGGTTGAGAGGTGTGAGAGGAGGCGGAGCGGAGCGGGATGAGATGGCGTGGCGGGGAAGGACAGGGTGCAAAAGTGGGCTCGCGATGAAAAGGCAGGTGCGCAAAATCAGGGAGTCGCTGCAGGTCTCCCAGACGCAGAAGTGTTTAATGGGATATGAAGTGACGGGTGACTTGCACTTTCGCAGGTGAACTGTGACGGACTCGGCGGTTTTGACGACGGGAGGATTAAGTAGGAGCAAGCAAGTCAAAGTGATGACGATTAGGTCGAGAGCGAGATTATCTGAAACCAAGAGAATCTGAGTGAACTACCTAGGAGACCAATCTCATTGTTTTGTGTAAATAAGCATTTTGTAGATGGCTGCCATACCCCTCTGCAAAAAACAATTTGCAATTTGGCCGCCAGCAAGATCAGCCTTGACCATTTTTGAAAAACCAGTGTCTTGACTGAGACCGTCGAAGTTCGCATCCACAACCAGCCATCCATGACTTTCATCCAATTTGTGGATCCACAAGACGCCCGCATACCAATATTGACCACCCAGCTCTTCAGCAAGAGCAACCTTCAGCAGATCTGAAAACCAATTCCTTTACCGAGACCGTCAAAGCTCACCTCCGAAGGAAGCCACCACCCCAATGACTCTTTCCAATTTGTTGACCCACCAGACGCTCCCATTTTTGCACTGAACCACCCAACTAGCCTTGTAAGTTCAGTTCTTTCTTCCTGGGCAGTTTAGTTTCGCCCTCGACATACGGCAAGCCGGCTTCCTCGCGGGCCATGTCATTGATCCACTTAGAGTCCGGCAACAACTCCTTGCCCTTGGCCAAGCTATCCGCCATGAAAAGCCAGCTGAGTGCGTTGCCCACGGTGCTAACCTCGTCCGAGACGTGCGTGGCAGCAAACTTTGACATTCGTTCATACAGCTCCGTGTCGTTGAACAGGTCGGCCAAGTGTCTTGCAACGGCGCGGAAGTCACCGGGCTCAACGAGAAAGCCGGACTTCTTGTGCTGAACCTGCAGAGGGATGCCACCTGCCTTGGTTGCGATGATCGGAATACCTTTGTGCAAGGCTTCCGACACTTTGACTTCGAAGCCTTCGCGTGTCGACAGCTGAAGCGCGACCTTGGCGTTGGACATGACGGCGTTGAGTAGCTGGTCGGTCGGTCCCAGACGCATGACGACCACGTCGCCTCGGATGTCGCTATATTTGCCGTTCAGTAGCGACAGCGTCTGGTCAAGAATCATGGATCCGTCCGGATCGTCGACTGCACCGTGACCAGCCAGCACGAGCTGCGGCGTCTCCTCCTTGGGCCAATCTTTCATGTGCGTCCGGCGTAGCTCAGCGTAGCCAGCTAGAACATCGGGAATGCCCTTCGATGGGTCGAAGCGTGCGATTTGAGCAATGTAGTCGCGGTGGGGAAAGTCGAGTTGGTTCATTTGCTGTTTGAAGCACTCTGAACTCAGCTCATGAAAGTAATACTCAGTGACAAACTGGTTCATTTCCTTGTTCAAGCCGTCAAGCCAGTCGGTGGTGGCGGGCAAGTAGCCGACCTTTTTGAAATCGACGTTGGACGGCACGAACTCCTTGACAGGATGGCTGATGAACAAGTCTGCTTGCTTAACATTATTCCACACCCAGTTCCACACTTCGGCCGTTGGAGTGCTAGGGTCGTCGGCAAGATCCGAGCGGACTTGGATATGACTGCGGAAAATGACCGGGCGCTCAGGATCGATAGTCTTGGAAATCTTGACGAGCGCAGGCATCTGTGGATCGTCCACAATGATGACGTCTGCACCACCGTTCGAGCGCGGAGCCAAAGGTCCTCCAGTTGGGATCCAGAATCTCTCAGCGTTACCCTGGACCCACTCATCCAACATTGCCTGTTTCTCCGGCGTCAGGCGTGCATCGGGGCTCGCTACTCCCTGAAGGATGTTGTGATTTGTCTTGGTGAGGCGAAATACCTCTGGCTTTGGCTTCGGGACGTACCATTTTGCGTCGAGACCCAACAAGCGGAAGAATCTGATGAGCGCATGGCGCATGAGAGCAACACCGCCACCTTGAGGGGTGCTGTTGAAAAAAGCAATCTTGGTGTTGTGCTCTTTGATTGACTTTACGTACTTCATTGTGGCTTCCCACGTGCGCTGGCCAACAGTCTCGGGGTATTGATCGAGTCGAGTGACCAAGGCATGGCCTCGGCAATCAACTTCAACGACATTCTTGAAGCCAATCTGGACCCGGGGCTGTGAATTGGGACCGAAAAACATCAAAGACTTGCGAGCCATAGAGTCAGCCTCCTCGTCGATGGTGACTGCGGCTTTGGGGGCACCACCCAGGTTTTCTAAGCCATGCTCAAAAACCAGGGGGACAATGTCCAATTCCCACCATAGACGAGAAGGTAGCTGTGGGCTCAGATCAACCAGAGCCTTGGTGATGCCAGCCCCGGCAAACTTGTAGAGATGGTCGTGCTGGTAATCGGAGATTTTGGAAATGACAAAATCGGCCAGGGCCTTGTCTCGATCGTGCTCTCGCAGGGGAACTGCAGGAGTAGAGGGCCGCGAGCCATCCCAAGAGCTGCAGTTGCTGGAGAACCCAGTCGAAAAGCCGTTCGAGACCTTGCTACTGCGTCGGTTGCGGCCGTTGGGATCCTCGCCACCGACCACGTGCACGGCAAAGTCGAGGCTGTAGGTGCCGTCATGTGAGGCAAAGCCTACTTCAAGCAAGCCACGCTCGTCTTGCTTTGCAGCAAGTCCGATGTAAAGGGTCTTGACTGGTTAGCAGCGGTAGAGTGGAGTCAGGTCAGCAACATACGGTTGGAACTGCTCCGAATTCAACCGTCAACCGGGATTTCCCAAGCTTCTCGAGGTGCTTAGTCGGGCCATGAGCTTCAAAGTCATGGCGAGTCTTTGTGCTGGTGTAAGGGAGATCGTCGGTACTAGACCAAGTAGCCCGCCTTGTGTGGTGGGAGGGGCTGGTGTTGGTGTCTGACAATGACGAGATCATGAAATGGAGAGAGCGTGCTCATTTGGTGGAGGAGAATGATGGATGGAGCAAGTTGAAGAGGCGGTTGGAGGGGTTTAATACAATAAGACGGATCACAAGGGAATTGGCTCGTGAAGGGATGCAGAGGGCCCGAGGGCGTGGAGCTGACTGGTGATCGGTGTCACCACGTGGATGCGTCAAAGACGACGGGAGCAGCTGGACCGCATGACATTGAGATACGTCCCGTCATGTCAGAAGGGCGTGTCTGCAGAAAGGCTGTGGTGGTGGCGTGGAATCGCCGTTGACGGCAGTTTGGACGTGGGCATGGGATCGGCACTCGAGGCTTGGGCCGCTCAATGCGGAGGACAAGACAACCAAGTAAGCATGACAACAGACCAACGCCAGAGGTCCAATGGCGTGCGCGCAATCCCAACGGATCCCGTGCTGAAGATGGGCTTTTTACATTGCGTTGCACGCCTGTCGATAGTTTTGTCGAAGACCAGCCCTGGTGCACAGCTGCGGCACATGTTGCACGATCTGCTCTCGTTTGGTCGGTCGACGTGCCATCTGCTCACATTGATACAAAGCTGGAGCGATGATGATGATGAAATGGCTTCTTTGTTTTCGTCTGCCCAACTGCATGTGGATGGGACGGAGGGAGCAGTCGGCTCGGGTCGGGGTGGTCCGCCGAGGTGGCGCTTCCTTGATTCAATCCTTCAGTCCCCGGCGCCTGAGGCAGACGGCGTGTCCCGCCGTTTCATCAGCCTCGAAAAAGGGCCCCGGTCAATTCAATGGTGTGTCCAGGAGATGGCATGGGTGATGGGTCGAGTAACAGGCTGTTCTGGAAGTGCAGAAGCCGGCCGACGCGGCGCTAGCCCAAGCGGGCTTAGGGCCCCTCCAAACCACATGCGGCTTAGCTCCCGCTGCTGCATGCTCAGGCTCATGCTGGCCCGTGCTCCCGCTAGCCTCGTCGGCTTGCGGGAGGTTGCAACTCAGTGCCAACTCCACACCACCCGTCTTTCCGCTCACCCATCTCCTCGCCATCGACGGTCCATCGCCCTGCGCCCGCAACACCTCCCCGGGCTTCGCAAGCGATTCGCTGGCGCCATCATCGAGACCTACCGCGCACTCTGCGTCCAAGTCTTGGCCTCAAACCTCCGCACCCATCTACGCGCCAATCGTCTCGCGAGCACCGCGTTCGCGTCACTAGTCTTCGTTGATCCGCGTCTCAATCGCCCCGGAATTCTCCTCCGCCCTCTCCATCTTGCGCATCTAGACTCTGGCCACACATTGCGCGCTGGTCACCCGGTCCACCATGTATAACGCTCATCGCGGCATGGTGCCCACTGCTCCCAATCAGCGCTTGAATGAGCTGCTTGAGCAAATCCGTGGCGAGTTTGAAAATGAGGTTGGTCGAGCCGGTGAGATGGAGCGACAACGTAAGTTCTTTGATCTTTTGCGGCCACCGTCTGGCTTCTGCGCCTTTTGCGCAAGCTGCCTAGCGGGTCCCTCAACAAGGCTTGCCAAGCGAAGCACTCGATACTAAGATGGGTACAGTCGCTCAACAGCTCCAAGAGATGGACCTTGTGCGCCAGAAGATCTATCAACTCGAACAGTCACAGATTGCTATGAAGGCCAAGTATGTTGACAACCTCTGTCCACTTTGGCCTCGATTAATATCTCCACAGGTACGAGGAAGAAATTCAACGCCTGAATCGAAGCCTCGACGCCGCTGGAGCAGCCCCGCATCCCAACCATGCGAACAGTTCACAACACGGAAATCCCTCGCAGCCGCCACCATCGATCGGACATGGCCAAGGAACCCTTTTTGGAGGCATCATGTCGCAATCTGGAGGTGGGCCAGGCCTGGCGCCTCCGCCTCCAGAGTCTGCTCAAGCTCAGAACCTTCCTCCTCATGCACCTCAAGGCCCGCCGGGCCTCAACCCTGCCGCGCCT